GGGTAGCCCGGTGGAGGGGGCTTGGCAAATGTGGGGTGGGGTTGGTTCTTTTTGGGGGGGAGGAGTCCCCTTTTCCCTTTGGCACTGCAGAGCAGAAAAGGGACCCTCGGGATCGCTGGGAGTCCAGCCCCTCTCAAGGTGGGGGATTCGAACCCCCAACCTCTGGCCCGTTAGCCACTTACCTCTCGACCTCACAGGGGCCCGGCCCGGCCCACAGCAGGAGCAGCAGCAGGGAGACCACAGTAGCGTCTGGCCGCAGCATTTTGGGGGGGGGATCCTCAAGAGAGAGACGGCTGGGGCGGGGAGGAGAGAGGGAGACACACACACACACCACACTGTGGGTGCCGTCAGAGCCACTGAAAAGATGCCCTCCCCCAGCTCCCCCCCGGAAGGTGCAGACCCACTTGAGGCTTTCCCCCCACCACCACCCCAAAGATCTCGGGGTCCCCCTCCTCTGCCCGCCTTCCTCACCTTCTTCTTCCAAAGCAGGCAGGAGAGGCCGAGGGAACACAAGCGCGACACAGGAGCCTGTTGTCACCCTGCAGAGCCTTGCTTTTTAAAGGCCTGTTGACCGGAAGGGGGGGTTTACGAAAGCACCTCCACCCCCCTCCCCAGGGCAGGTGTGGGGCCAGGAATGCCCGACCCCGGTTGTGTAACACCAAGTTTTATAACCCTCCGAAACGTGGAGGGCCCCTCCCCACACGTGCCATGACCACCACTCGCAGACACACAAGGACCTGATCAATAAATATTTATAGATAAGTTTGTTTTCTAAATGGCCCTCCAACCAAAGTTCGGTACTGTAACTAAAACAAAACAAAAGTCTCCATCTACGTAAGAGGCTGGCCTTCTGGAGGTGTGTGCAGACTGGGGGTCAGGAGCGGGTGCTGTGGAGTGGGAATGGGGGGGTAATGGAGGGAGGGGCTGATGAAAGAACCCCAGATGTATGGGGGTGCAGAGGAATGCAAACCACAGAGCTGTCAGTCCCGGCCTGATCCCTATCCTGGGGGGGGGAAGGAGGTTGGGTCCCATCCCCACAACAAGCCACTCTGGGGGGGGTGTTCCCCAGTCTTTGTTTGGGCTGCCCGACTGTTTCTGGGTGTTTTAAACCAATGCCACACATTCACACCCACAAAGACATGAAGACACACACACACACACACAGTCCCTCAGCTCGCTTGGCACAGGGGCTCCGAGCCTTATGTGTGTGTGTCTTTCCACCCCACTCCTCCTCCTCCTCCATCGCCACCCCACACTGGCCACAGGACCTCTTGCGTTGTCCACTCAGCTACCCACCCACCTACTGGGCACAAAGAGGGAGGGGCCGCTATGTGAATGAACCCCCCACACACACACACACGCACCAAGAACGACAGCACGTAATAAAGGCAGCAAGGAGGGGAGTGAGTGAGTGAGTTAGTGTTTGGGTCTCTTGAGACAAACATCCTCCGCCCCCCCCGAAAAAACAGCAACAACAACATACATGGATGTCAACAAAGAACAGAAGGCCGAGGGGATGGTTCCCCCGAAGAAAGCCCAGAGGGGGAAGCGAAAAAGCCCACGTCTCCCCCGGAAGACAGAAAGGGAGAGAACCAGGAGAGTCCGGCATCCAGGCAAGGGGTCAGGGGCCGCATCCTGTAGCTGGCTTACCCCCCCCCCTCTTATGTCTGCAGTGCTGGGTCCTGAGGCAGGTCCACCATGGGCACCGTGAAGCCCCAGCTCCCTGTTGCTCTCAGCCGGAGGTGGGGTGGTGGTGGTGGGGGCTGTCCAGGGGATGGGGCAGCAGAGAGGGTCCTTATACTCCCCAGGCGGGAGGGGGAAGGTCCCGGATCCCATCAAGCGGCCAAGGATCCATTGGGGTCACGAGAGTCTGCAGGAGGGGTCGGCCCCACGCACCCAGTCCGTTCACATCTTACTGCTCCCCGCGAAGCCCAGTTCGCTCCGGGGCGACCGTCCCGTGCCCCAGTCGGCCTCCCCACTGATCCGGGAAGGAGAGGCTTCCTTTTTGGGGGGCCCGGAGGCGGCAGGAGGGGCGCCCGAGAGGCCTCCCCCTCCTCCTCCTCCCGCCCCCGCAGCCGCCCCCCCTCCGCCGCCCAGGCGGGGCCGCCTCTCGCAGTGGCCCCTGTGGCGCATGAAGCTGTCGCGCCACATGAACTTCTTGGCGCAGACCTCGCACTCGTAGGGCTTGAGCCCCGTGTGGGTCTTCATGTGCTCGGTCAGGTGGTGCTTCATCTTGAACTTCTTGTTGCAGACCGGGCAGTCGAAGGGGCGCAGGTTGAGGTGCATGTTGACGTGCCGGTCGCGCATGCTCTTGTGGGAGAAGGCCTTGCCGCAGTGGCACATGAAGATCTTGTTGCCGTCGCCCGAGCTGGCCGCCAGCTGCACCGCCCCGTGCTCCACGGGGGCGGCCTGCGGGGGGAAGATCATGATCTGGTTGCCCTGCATGTCCATGGGCAGGAGGGAGCGCTGGGCGAAGGAGGAGGAGGAGGACGACGAGGAGCCCCCCGGGAGGGGCGAGGCGTCCTCCAGGCCCTCGTACGGCGAGGGGAAGTCCTCCGATGACTCGCAGAAGTTCACCTGCTCCTCCAGCTTGCCGCTCCCGCCCGGGTCCGTCAGGGTGCGCACGTCGCTGATGCTGAGCGCCGCCTCCGGGGCGGGACCGCCCCCCGCCACCTCCACGGGGTCCTCGTCCTCCTCGCAGGTCAGCACCAGGTCCTCCTGGGAGCGCTCCTTCTTGATGAAGACCCACTGCTTCTGGGGCATGATGCTGGGCCGGATGTAGGTGGGTCGGCGCCCCTCGCTGCTGCCGGGCTCCCCGCTGTCGCTGGC